GCGTTGCTCTTCAGGTCGTAGCGACAGACGTCTGCAGAGCGGTAGCAGTTATAGTACAGCGCTTCACCATATAGAACAGCACTGGGACCCTCAATGCTGTTGGGGTGACTGTGGGATGGAGCAAAGGTAAAGTCCTTGTTGTTAGCAGAGGCCATGAAGTCTTCGTAGGTTTGGTAAACACGCAGGGAGTTGCCCCAGATGTGGCTGCTGAGCAGAGGTTGGACCCAGTAGCTGTTCTTCTGCCCCTCGCTGTCCATCTGGGCCTGTTTGCCCCACGAACCAGAGATGTAGCTCTTACCGTAGGGACTGACCTTAGTCATGACAGGTTCGCTAATATTTGTGATCAGGCCCTTGAGGCAGTACCTGTCCTGGCCTGGAAACAGACAAAGATGAGAAGGGTCTGAAGATCAGGTGATGTACAGTACAGTATCACCTTTTTTGTCTATTAAAATGTTGAGGAAATTATAATAATTTGGGTGGAATCGCTTTCCATAAGAATAGTAGACTATAATAGTAACATAGAGTAGGCTATAACATGTTTTGAAATTGTATGTAAACCTCTGTAAAATGTTAATACAGTAACCCTACCTAAAATCCTTTACGTATCCTTGATAGAGGCCTGATACCAATGCTGGATTTGTGTCTTTACAAAAAACAACACTCTGCTTTAATGCCTTATCTGCGATTGTTTCTATTCTGGTGTCTTTTTATGACAATATTTAGTATTTAGTTAATGAGCATGAATAGAAAAAATTAAGAAATATTTTAGTTTGAAAAGAGGTCTGTGCATCCAATGAAAGAAAAAGTTTGAGAATCAAAGAACCCCTTGTCCACCAATTTAATCTTCATGAAAAATTACAAATATTGGGAATATTACAGTTTTTTCTGAATGCTTAAGCGCTAATCGTGATTCTTGTAGCACTATTTCTAAAATTATTAATACGTATAGCAAAACCACTCACTGAGTTTGCAAAACTAAAAGCACAAACACTGCTTTGCACTCAGTTTGCAATTTTGTAACACACACTTTGCAAAACTGTAGGCACAATTCACTGCACAACACTCTTTTTGCAGAACTTTAAACACAACTCACTGCTTACACTCAATTACCAAATTTCCAACACACTCCTAGCAAAATTATACACATGTATGGCTATCATTAACACTATTTTGCCAACTGTCTGGCACACTTTCACATGTTAAAACTGTTTTAGATAATTAGTTCACTTTGCAATCAGCCTAAGCACTATAAATAAGCCACAGGTAAGCTGTCTGTGTGGAGTACAATGGAAGGAGCAGTAAGAGTGAGAAGAGTGAGAATCAGAGGAGGCCGAGGAGGCTGAGGGAGAGGACGTGGAGGTGAAGAAGTTGGAGGAAGGGGACGTGGAGGTGAAGAAGTTGGAGGAAGGGGACGTGGAGGTGAAGAAGTTGGAGGAAGAGGACGTGGAGGTGAAGAAGTTGGAGGAAGAGGACGAGGAGGGGAAAGAGGAAGGGTAAGAAGAGTAAGAAATAGAATAACTGATGACATCAGAGCTACAATAGTGGACCATGTCATCAACCATGGGATGACCCTGAGGGAAGCTGGCTAACAGGTTCAGCCTAATTTGAGCCGCTACACTGTGGCAAGCATCATTAGGACATTTCGAAATCAGAATCGGTAAGTACTTTGTAGCACTGCCATACTCTAATGATAAACACAACAGTACCATACATGCAAAAATAGTGAAATTGTTACTTAACAGAATTGCTAGACGTCCACATGTTGGGGGCAGAGGAAGAATGTTCACTCCAGAGCAAGAGACCCATATAGTGAACATGGTGATTGCCAATAATGCAATAAGACTGCGCGAAATACAGCAGCGCATAATTGATAATGACACCATCTTTCAAAATATACACAGTGGTTTACAGACCACCCATTCTTCATGGCACTCAACCTCCCTCCATACTCTCCATTCTTAAATCCCATCGAGGAGTTCTTCTCTGCCTGGCGCTGGAAAGTGTATGACTGTCATCCTCATCAACAGGTAGCCCTTTTACAGGCAATGGAGGAGGCATGTGGAGATATTGACCAGGCATCATGTCAGGCCTGGATACGGCATTCAAGGAGATATTTTCCCCGGTGCCTTGGACTGGAGGATATCGCATGCGATGTGGACGAAATTTTGTGGCCGGACCCAGAAAGACGACATGATGTAGGCTGATTGTCTTTTTTTGTGAAATTACTATTTTGTGTTCTGACTTTGTCTTGGTTTTGATGAGTGTGAATAAACACCAATACTTGAAGTTTGGATCCTTGTATGTTTACATGACACTATGACAAACGTATGACCTCAAATTGACATCTGTACACAGAGAAAGCAAAAGCCAGATGTGTTTTGTATTCATACCATCAGTGTGTAGTTGGCACATTGCGTGCTTAGTAGATGATGGCTTGTGTTTACTGTTTGATACGAAAACACCATTTTTACGAAGGTGTGAAGAGTTAATCTAGCTGTGTTCGCTTTTGCAAGAGAACTACAATGTTTTGATAATTTGGTGAAAGGTTTTCTTATTTGTGTGTAGAGTTTTGCAAAAATAGCCAATAGTTACAAAAAATGTGCTTAAGCAATCAGAAAAAACTGTAATATGCAAGTAGTCCACTTGGAACTGTATATTATTAAGTTTTCACTCCACATATTGCATTCCATACATTGGGATTTTCAGAATATACCAGGGCTATCCGGAAATGTTGGCATGTAAGTGGCACTGTTCATGTTAAGGGATCAATCTACACATGGTGATTGTAAGACAAAATCTTAAGGAGCATTATTATGATTTCTAAGCAGAATCATGGATGTTTTATTCAGAGACATCACTATTACTGGAAAGAGTAAGTTGCTCTGATTCAAGCAGCGTGTGTGTTGTCATCTATTACACTGCGATTTTGAATGCAAAATTAACATCATCAATCATCAATCATCAATTTCTTTCCAGTTCTCCTCCATAAAATGCTACCCATAGTTTGAGAACCACAGTTTAAAAAAAAATGTGTCAGGTTCCTTGGACAACTAGATGCATCTGTTTAAACAAACTTACATTTACAATCAGTTGGAACTGAGTTTAAAATCCCAGGATTCTGGTTCAACAATATTTGGACTGTCCAGTTGTTTTACTGACAAATAAGGCCAAATCGATTGCTATTTTTCACTGACGTCTTTCTTAAAATGCCTTTCGTACTGTGCTGCACATTCGAACATGGTCAGAGGCCAACTTACTTAATTTTAATGCAGGTAATGCACATTTTCCCACAGAGTCCTCCTGGTTCTTCATAGTTATTGCAATGACTGAGTGAGTGCTCTCTTACACACACACACACACACACACACACAGCACCATACTTACCTCTGAAGTCTTTGGGGATTGACTTGCAGGACTCAGCGGTGTTCTTCAGGTAGCGCAGTTTCTCTTTGACTGTCTTCATGTTTAATGTGTTTGACATTTGCATCTTGTCTACATCTGCACGCAATTTACCCACCTAACACACACAAACACACACACATATTTACAACAATGTATCCAGACAGTTATAGACACATATATACACGGTAAGCCATATTTATCTTAAAAACATTTCAAATAACTCAGGTATGTTTCTTCATATTATCATTCTTTCATATCTGTGGTATTCCTGTGACATGTTATTATGAGCAAAGTTAGTTTTTTCAATTACTGAGATGCAATGGTCAAAACTGAAGCAACTTTTTCAAAACTTTTCACACAGTCTGCATTACCAACATGCATCTTGGCCAAACAGTTAATCTCACCTCTAAAAGTCACTCAAACCACCAAAACTCTTCATACAAATTTCAAAATAAACTCGTTCAACCAAAACACTGGCAACAATTCTCACTTAGAAAGCATTCATTGTCACTTATAACACACTGACTTACAAAACACTAACAACAGGAAGCATTACATAAATTTGAGGAACTTTTATCTTCAAAACGTTTTTTTAATATAAATCAGTATTTCATATAGAATACAGTTTTTCTCACTTTTGGTACATTTCTCAGATCAGAATTGAAATTCTACTTGTTCAACCTCCACATCATCTAGTCACTTGTGCACATAGCAATTTCTCAGGCTTTTGAGAAATTGCTAATTGCTTTGACACATTTATGCAAATGATTATGCACAATTGTCTGCTGTTTCCGACAATATCAATTCCTTACTGTATACCATGTTGATCACAATGTATTATACTGGTTCTCTGTTGAATAGTCTTACCCAACAAAACATCTACTCAAAAGTGCATTGCCTAAGTCACTACATGCAAAATAGTTGAACACGTAATCTGCAAAATGTTTTTTCTACATGTGTCTATTAGACTTTTTTTTGTAAATGTGTCCTACAGTAAATTGATGAAGATATCTGTTGTGATGTGAATATGTATCTGTGGCCCACTAGATAGGAACATCAACCTGAGGGGTGTTTCCATGTTTCCATTTCTTATTTTGTAATTGTTTCTGTCATGCTATGCAGTGCTGTAAAATAGTCTAATAGTTTATTTTCTCTCCATCACAATGACATGCTCTGTCAACAAATTACAGTGCATACAGTAAATGTGTAACTGTGAATCCTATCCCAATCCAATTTCTTGCAATGTATAACTCAATACTGTTGAAAGTGTTCTATGCCATTCTGAAAAAGTGCAGCCTTGTGCATTTTCAATCATTGTCATCCAACCATAGTTTACTAATACAAATAATTGTGCAAGTGTTACTGTAAGGATAATTCTAGAAATGTACCAAAGCAACTGAGAAAAATGTAAAAACAACATATTTTCACTTTATTGACTGTACTATAGTATATCTAACAAGAATGAATCAGAAATTCAGAAATTGGCCTCAATATCCTTTATTTTTTCTATATCATAGCATTCAATAATTTACTTACGGTAAAGTTCCTGAAATGTCAGTGCTGCAACACAGTTTTTCTCAGTTGTTTATACAGTAAAACTGGTACCTGAGACACAATGACCACAACCTGTAATTGATGCACCAACACCTTGAACCAATTCTGCTAAAATACAAGTACATGTCCTGCTTTACATGCAGCTTGCAGTTTTAAAGTAAAACCATATTCTAAACACTACACATATTTCTCTACACACATAGACGTAAACATGTTCGTAATGTTCTGCTAAGATTTTCTATATACATCTGTTCAGTTACTGCCAAAATGCAGAACATTTCCAATCATTCTGTTTTGAATGTGTTTTTAACAGTTTTGGACAAAGTGTGTTAGCATCAGAAAAATGTGCTGCAGATATAGTGTTTTGCAGGTAAATTAGTAATGAGAAAAGAGTTCATTGATTTAGGAGAAAGTGGTCATTGAATGGATTTTGTGTGAAAGAAATGAAAAAGGATTCACAGTTTGGTCCACATACATACATACACATACGTTTTGCTGACTGTGTGAGTGAAGAGTGTTTTTGACAATGTGACTTCAGTTTTGACCAATGCAGGTTAGCAATTGAAAAAAACTAATATATCATTCTTCAGAGTTTAATAAATTTTGACTTTATGTAGGCTATTACTCCACGAAATTGTTGTGTCTTCAGTGGATGTTTTACTGTACCTCTTTGGAGAGTTTCTGTGTTTGGCCGTTGTTTAGCTGCTTGTGGATGACACCAACATCTGTCTCCAACTGGCTGAGCTCCTGGCCCAGCAGGCGCAGAGACAAGACTGAGTACAGACCCTGGTCGTGAAGGTACTGGTGAGGCTCCAGCCGGGCTGTCATGTTCTTAACCAGGGCCTGGGTCTGAGGGAGACGCTGGCTGGATAACGTCACCTGCAGGGAAACACAGACAGAAAATACTCTGCTGTTTCTTGAAAACTGAATGTGTTTCAGGATTCCAGGTTCAAGTTCATATTTTCTTTGGGGACTGTACCTTCACATAGTCACAAGACTCGCAAGAGTCTAAAATGCCGAAAGTAATCATAATAATCAGTTGTTGAATCCAATCAAAATGTCACATTAGAGTAAATGCTTCTAACCTGCATTGTATGGCTGAGCAGCACTGTATTCATATAATCAATCAAGTCAGAGGTGGAATTGGACTGGACACAGTCTGAATTAGGTACCACTCTCACCGATGTAAAATGATGCTGGTCGACCTTATTTCTCACCTGTTCCTGCAGGTTGTTCAAAGATCCTTCACAGGACTGAACCTGCTGCAGCACGGACTCGAACTTCACAGCAGGGAACGTCCACAGGTTGGAGTTCACCGCACAAACACATGAGCCATTCTTCCTCTGGCCAGACACTCGCTGAGCCTGGCCATCACCCTGTAGTCACACATGTATAAAAACACTGATGTAGGGTATTTAGCAAGGACAGTAAAGAGATAGCACAGCAGAAAGAGACAAAAAGAAAGAAAAGGCCTCAGTCTAATGTCGTAAATTGCGATATCTTCCACTTTTGTCCTTAGTGTCCTAAGAATCTAAGAGTAGCATATCAGGTGTGACTCACTGAAGACAGCAGCAGAAGGAGCAGCAGCAGCATGTTTAGAGCTGGAGAAATTAATAGAGATACAGAAGCTGTTAGTACTGAAATCACCACCCCTCCTCTTCTCTTTTCTCTAATAAACACCATCTCAACAAATATTTTCCTGTCTTGCTTCTTGTCACTGAGGAGTCACTGCAGAGCTGGATGTGAAACTTTAAAAATGTGGAACTATGAATTTTCCCATAGTTTCCCTTACTTTACGCAATGGTTAGTATTTCCCCTTTGTAGGATCCTCTGCAATCCTCTGTTCCTCTGCTCTCAATCTCCTGTTTTGCAACACATGATGTTTGCAAGAATGTGTTACAAACCTTGATAAAACTTCACAATGCAGTAATGGATTCTATAATACTATCAAAATACTGAGAAATACAGAATAATGTCGGTACATAACTGAATACACGTATGACGCTGAGGATGAGAGCGATTGAAGGACACTGATCCGGATATATGTTACCGAATCAACCTAAATTGGATTAAAAATTATTGTCTTCATTTTTTTCTGGGAAGCGAGTGGCGGCGCTGAATGTAGCCAGTGAGATAGTGTACAGGGGTTCTTCACTTTGATTAATATTAGCTTATGTAATTAGTAGGTGGGAAATAATTGTTGATTTGCCTATTTGTTTAGTCATTAACCAGGGCAACAGCTACTCCTCCTGGGCCATGTTCTTCAAATGTGGTTAACTTAACTAATTGTTGCACCGCCCTCAGCCATAAGGTTCGACAGAGGAAAGAGCACAGCACATTACCAGGACGGAGCTGCCATCCATGGGACTGTCGGTACCGCAGCTTCATCCCGCAAGCCATAAGACTGTTGAACTCTTGAGCTCTTAAACTCGTCACAATGACACTTTCGTTGCACCATTTTGATTAGGTCACTTTATATTACTGCCACACTAATACTGTACTTATTGTACATACATATTCTACTGAATTGGCTCCACCTGCTTACTTACCTGCTTTTTACAACCTGTTTACATATCAGTATAATCTTCATACCTACCTGTTCATACCTGTACACATCACAGTTTATATATATATTTTACTACATGTTTATAAGCTATTTATCCATCATTGTGCGTGTGTATGTATCTATCTATCCATCTGCCACTCAACGTAATGGAAAAAAAAATGTTGAACATTTTCCATGTCCCAACCCCTCATTTTCCTTTTATGATGCATAATACCTGTGAAAAGTTTCATTCAGATATAATATTGACTGGTAGATCAATGGGCTCAGTGTTTTCAAATACTATAATCAAGATAAAATGTTATTTAATTCAAAATTTCTCTACCACAGTAAATTAATATAGTATAGTATTGTTATCATTTAACTGTTCTTTTTCATATTCTCATTTGTGTTATTATTTGGTTTAAATACTATGTAATCAGAATAATATTTTTGGGTTAGCACTACAGCAGCCGTGGTTAGTAGTATAGTTAACTCTGTGCAGGGTCACGAGGGGGCTGGACCCAATCCCAGCTGTCAAATTGCTAGTTCATCACAGGGCCTCACAGAGTGAAGTGACTGAGTTTAAGAGGCTGCAAGGGCTCAAAATGCTGTAAACAGGAATGGGACAGCACTTTGCCACTTTATCATGTTACCTTGACGATGCAGAAACATGTTGCACACTTTTTATTTTATGTTTTTGCCTGATTTTTAAGTCCTGCAGGCTCTTGTCCTACAGAGTGGAGGAGAGGTAGCCTAAATGTCAATAAAAAGTTGTCAACTGACAATTGCTATATATATGTCAGAGGTCGCACAACTCTGGAGAAACCAGGGGTTAGGGTCTTGCTCAGGGACACAATGGTGGATAGGTCACAGTGCGGAGTTGAACCCAGGTCTCTTACACCAAAGGCCTGTGTCTTATCCAGTGCGCCACCAATACACTAATGGCACAGCCACCAGGAGCAATTTGTGGTTCCCAACCTTCCGGTTAGTGGACGATCGCTCACTTACGCCACTTCAACACTTTCCTAATTAAGGTCTATCTGAAGGTCTATCTGGTTTGCATTGCATGTGTTCCCTCAACCAAGTCCAGTTGCCCTTGACTTTAACCTTCTTTGGATAACTATGACCTGGATTAAAGTTATATTACATGATAAAATCGGGAACATGTTGAATATTGTAAAAATATTATTAAAATACATCCAAATTTTGTTTTTGTCACATTATTAACATATTTGGGGATGGGAAGATAAAATTAAAAACTTTAATTTTGAGTGGCACCCTAATATATATATATATATAAATCCCTCTCTCACCCCTTGCGGGGTGGTATTTGTCATCCTCAAGCTCGGGTCCTCTACCAGAGGCCTGGGAGATTGAGGGTTCTGCGCAGTATCTTAGTTGTTCCTAGGACTGCACTCTTCTGGACAGAGACCTCTGATGTTTTACCTGGAATCTGCTGGAGCCACTCTCCCAGTTTGGGGGTCACAGCCCCCAGTGCTCCGATTACCACTGGCACCACTGTTGCTCTTACTTTCCACATCTTTTCTAGCTCCTCTTTCAGCCCTTGGTATTTCTCAAGCTTCTCGTGTTCCTTCTTCTTGATGTTGCTGTCGCCTGGGATCGCCACATCTATCACTGCAGCCTTCTTCTGCTGTTGGTCGATCAACACGATGTCTGGTTGGTTAGCCATCACCAGTTTTTCAGTCTGGATCTTGAAGTCCCACAGGATCTTAGCTCGGTCATTCTCAACTACCTTAGGAGGTGTCTTCCATTTTGACCTTGGGACTTCCAGACCGTAATCATTGCAGATGTTCCTGTACACTATGCCAGCTACCTGGTTATGGCGTTCCATGTACGCACTTCCTGCCTGCATCTTACACCCTGCTGTTATGTGCTGTACTGTCTCAGGGGCATCCTTGCACAGTCTGCACCTGGGGTCCTGCCTGGTGTGGTAGACCCCAGCCTCTATTGATCTTGTACTGAGTGCCTGTTCTTGTGCCGCCATGATTAGTGCTTCTGTGCTGTCCTTCAGTCCAGCCTTTTCCAGCCACTGGTAGGATTTCTTGATATCAGCCACTTCTTCTATTTGTCTGTGGTACATGCCGTGCAGCAGCTTGTCCCTCCATGAAGGTTCTTCTTCCTAGTCCTCACCTTCGGGTTTCTGCTGCCTGAGGTATTCACTAAGCCCTTCATCTTTGGGGGCCATCTTCCTGATGTACTCTTGGATCTTTGTCGTTTCATCCTGGACAGTGGTCTTGACACTCACTAGCCCTCGGCCTCCCTCGCTACGCTTGGTGTACAGTCTCAGCGTGCATTGTGAGGAGCTTTCTTGTCTTGATGTCAGTGGTCTCTATCTCCTCCTTTGGCCAGTTTATTATACCAGCGGCGTATCTGATGACTGGCATGGCGTATGTGTTGATGGCTCAATCTTGTTTTTCCCATTCAGCTGACTTTTCACGACCTGCCTTACTCTCTGTAGGTATTTGGCTGTGGTGGACTTCCTTGCTGCCTCCTCATGGTTTCCGTTAGCCTGTGGCACCCCAAGGTAGATGTTGTAGATCCTGGTAGTGTGGATCAGTGAGTCGATGTCTCGCTCATTTCTGGTATACAGCTTGATGTCATCCATGTAGAGGAGGTGACTGATGGTTGTTCAACTTCAGAACCGGTATTCGTAGCCAGTTTTTGTGATGATCTGGCTGATGGGGTTCAGGCCTACGCAGAACAGCAGCAGGGATAGTGCATCACCTTGGTATATGCCCCACTTGATGGTGACTTGTGCAATATGCTTTGAGTTGGCTTCCAGACTTGTTTTCCACAGCCCCATTGAGTTCTTGATGAAGGCTATTAGTGTCCTGTTGATCTTGTACATTTCCAAGCATTCCAGTATCCATGTATGTGGTATTGAGTCGTAGGCTTTCTTGTAGTCAATCAAGGCGGTGCACAGATTGGTCTGCCTGGTCTTGAAGTCTCAAGTGACTGCTCTATCAACCAGTAGCTGGTGCTTGGCTCCCCTGGTATTACTACCCATTCCCTTCAGGGCCCTGTCCATGTATTGAGCCATGTGCCTACTCATCTTAGCCGCTATGATGCCTGACAGGAGCTTCCATGTTGTGCAGAGGAAGGTTATTGGCCGGTGGTTAGATGGAATTGTTTCCTTCTGGGGGTCCTTCATGATCAGGACTGTCCGTCTTTGGGTTAACCATTCTGGGTGGGTCCCATCCATCAGCAGTTGGTTCATTTGTGCTGCCAGGCGTTCATGGAGTGCAGTTATCTCCCTGCTGACCTGTCGTCCTGGCTCCCCCTTGCCGTAGCGTATTTGTTGTACCTCATCAATCTCTAGTTGTGATAGGAGCTACAGTTTGCAGATGTTAGAACACTGAGCTAGAAGTTGTTTCTTTGTCAGTGTTGATGATGGGTTTCGAAGCATCCATATATCCCATAGTCATATAACCCCTCTCACTGGGATCGCTTGTATAGTAGCATTGCATCAGATCCATGTTTTCTGCTCTAGTCCATGAATGTCTTGTTCCAGTAGCCCATTTGTCATCAGGTACAAAAACCTGACGCGGACCTTGTTAGCGACGTCCGAGCCGGTATGGCTCTTTTATTTGCGGTTTCACTCATGCCTGAGGTAGGCTGGTAGCATTAAGGACCCTGCCTAAGGGTCCACCTGGATACCTGGATACGATCACCTGTACCAAAGTCAGTGGCATTAACCATTGAGCTATATATATATATATATATATATATATATATATATATATATATATATATATATATATATATATATATATACTTGTGTATAATCTCTACGTATATACAGTCCATTTACTACAATACTGCACAACCTGTTTAGTTTATACATATTACTACTACTGTACACCAATCTACTGCAATTTTATATTTTATAAACATATAACATATGTTAGCTACTGCACTAATGTCTTAAATTCTAATTACATTATACTTACCAGTTTAATAAATACAGATTTGTTTGAGCATTGTTGGAGGGAGCTTGAGATCTAAGAATTGCATTGCCAAAAACTGTTTCACATTAATTTTTGTACTTATGACCCTAAAGGACTTGATCTTTGACTGACTAGTCCAGAATTTCATCATCAGATATTTTGTGTGGTCAGTGCTGGGTGATCACTTTCAGTTCCTGAATATTTCAACACAGATAACGTGTGTGAATTTCTGCGAACTCCATATCAGAAATGTTTCCATATTAGTCCCTGCTTCCCTTCCACATTTGGATTCACACATCCACTCACATCTGAACATTAAACTTTCCTGTGCTGCCGCAATCCCAACCACAAGGTGGAAGTGACCCCTTTCTGAAATCACACACATGCACATTCATTCACCCACTCACATGCAGAGGTTAGTGGGAGTGTTCACAAGTTAGAAGCTGCTGCCAGCAGTCAGACACGCTGTCATATTCAAACAGAGTTCAGGGACGGTTTCAGTGCTGCCCTCTGACCCACCATGAAGCTGCGTGTGATCGTTACACTGTGTGCTCTGTTCATCATCACCCAACAGGTATGAAAACACTTAAAAATAAAGATTATTGTTCCTTTTTCAAAATGACTTTCATTACAAAGGTCGCTGCCCACTTCAAACATAGATATATTTAAATATGGTATTTAATATTTATTATGACATGCCATGTTTGATATTCTTGACAGGTATTTTCACAAGATAAGTGTACGTGTGAGTTGACTAATTCAGAGAAGGCATTCCCTCATGACAAACTCAGCACAGTGGAGGACAATGCATCAAAATGCAACAGCAACATCACCCCACAGAAGGTAACTAGTTAACAGTGTTATTTTCTAAACCAGACTGTAAAGAACACAAACTCAACAGTTGTAAAACTGTAAAAAATTGAATAACAAAAACAGACTCCTATATGCATGCATTCATGTGTGAACACAGAGTCTACCTGCTCTCTCTGCAGACTCTGGAGCTGGAGAGTCTGCTGCTGGGTTTGGAGCGACGTCTGCCCCAGCTGCAGGAAGATGTGTCGATGCTGGAGAGGGAGGATGACGGAGACCTCTACGCAGTTCTCAGCCTGTATGTGATAGAGAATGAACTGATGGAGATCAAGCAGCTCATTGACAGGCTCAACAGCACCACCAAGGCACACCAGGGTCTGACTGCTGACACCACTAAACAGGTAGACTCACAAAGCACCAGCTGTTCAACACTGACACCATTCAAGAAGGCAGCGCCTGTGTGCAAGTCTGCTCAAAATTTAGATTTATTTATGGTATCCATAGCAAAACTTAGGTATATAAATATCTAGTATGATGTTTTTAAGTAGCAATAAGACTTTTACTGCACTGGTCCTTGGAGTTATGACCATGCAATCTACTAGATGTCTGGCTTTAAAAGTCATTTCTTCCAGTACACTATTATTGGAACACTTGCACCTTTTACATTTCCAGTCAGAGACAAAAAATTCTTCTTCTTCCTGGTCAAAACATGGTGCCTACATTACCTGCAATGCAACTCTAACTGCAAAAACTTCAGTCGGAGATTTGTTTGTTAAGCTAGTAATGGCGAATGTAGCCATGGGCGCTGAACTCAGACAAAACAGAAATCCTGGTCATCGGGTCCCAGTAGATGGCAAATACAAATACTGCCATCTGCTGGTTCGCTAGTAAATCACATTAAGCCTGTGGCAAAGAACCTTGGTGTTTGGTTTGATAGTTGGTTTCGAGAAGCACACCACAAAGCTTATTCAATCATGTTTTTATCAACTTAGAAATGTAGCAAAAATTCATCTATGTTAACTTTTAAGGACACCGAGACCATTTTACACCCTTCATCTCATCACGCCTGGATTATTGCAACAGCCTTTTCACCTGTTTAACCCAAAAATCTATTGATCGACTCCAGACTGTCCAGAACTCAGCTGCCAGGCTTTTAACCAGAACAAAGAAATATGACCACATTACTCCTATTTTAGCTTCATTACACTGGCTCCCAGTATGTTTTAGAATTGACTTTAAAATTCTATTGATCACTTTTAAAGCTCTTCATGGCCTCTCGCCTTGTTATATTTCTGACCTTTTAGTCCCATACGCACCAGCACGTACCTTGAGATCCTCGGGCAGAGGTCTGTTGTCTGTTCCAGAGTCTGAAAACTAAAGGGGACAGAGCGTTTGCTGTCAGGGCCCCGAGGCTCTGGAACAGCCTGCCCAGGAAATCAGGTCGGCTTAGTCAGTGAACTCTTTTAAGTCCCTTCTTAAAAGATACTTTTATAGGAGAGCCTTTCCCGATCTTATTTGATTTTATTTTATCCCTGTATTTTACTAATTTTATATTTATCTGTATTTTAGTCTTTTCAATGTTTTCATGCTTTTATCTTGTATTGTTTTTGTATTATTTTCTCTTGGGTATTATTGTCTTTACACTTGTTAAAGCACTTTGTAACTTGTTTTTGAAAAGTGCTCTACAAATAAAGATCATTATTATTATTGTTATTATCATTATTATTATTATTATTATTATTATTATTATATGGGGCAGGGTCGTTAAAAGACAATTCCAAGGGCCCCTGACAGGGGCCCCAAAAATAATTATAAACTAATATCTAATTAAATTATATTATACACTATATAAATCATCATCACTGAGTATAAATATATTTCAAATATAATAAAATGAATGATCTCTTTTGTTTTTACTTGTTTTTGGCAGTAAAAGATTGACCAAAAACTAAACATCCATATTGACCGACCACTCCCTTGTATCTTGGTTTGGTCCTGCCTTAGCGCACACATCAGTGATGGTGTTTAGATGCAGTCAGTAGATGCAGCAGAAATACAGAGAACACAATGTTGCCTAGTAAACCAAAATCTGGTTTTCAAAAAAGGAAAGAGAGGAAAGACAAAGGAAAGGGTGTCAGTCTGGAACCCAGTTTTTCCCCAAGAAAGGTGGGCAGCCTTTAGTCTGTGAGTGGTGTTAACCTGTTGTCCACAGTGAAATAAGCTAGCCAGCTACAGACTAGTGTTAGACTACATTTCATCAACATTTAATCAGTTCAGGGAAACGTTTAGCAAGAGATTCATATTAACTTGTTGTCCCTGCCCCTTTTAGCAGACTAACAACAGATGAGTCAGCAGCACCCCAGTCTCCACATAACTGTAGCCTCCCTGTCCCAGTGAAGAAGGGGAGCAGCATGGCAGGCATAGCATCATGCCAGGGAGTCTGGATTTCTCTTTTGCTCTCTTTATCATAACAAAAAAAGACAATGAAATATTTCTTTCTCACAAATTATTTTCTCACATAATGATCATTATGAAATAAATAAAAATAAAACCCACCTGCCTGTATGTACTGGATGCTGGACAGCAGCATACCTCAGCCTGCATGTAAGTTACAGACTATATTAAAATAATCCAGTTTGATACGTTCATTTAGATTGAATTATGGCCATTAATCACATCTATAGAAACAGACTTTATTATTCCCATCATGAAGGGCAATTTATTTGAGAAGCAAATAGTGAACTGCATCCTGTATGCAGACTTGCACGTACAAATCACAAGCAGTAAATATTGCTGCTAGTGCTAGTACTAATATTGAACTACAAGAAGCGTACATATGTATACATACTGTATGCATGAGAGTTTGCATGTCCGCTTGTGCCTGTATGTATGTGCAAGTGAAGTATTAAGTTTGGCAATACAATAAAACAATAAAAATTACACAATAAAAATATAGCCAAAACATAGAAGTGTACTGGTGCAGAGCCCTCTGTTGACTTTAAATTTATCACTCAGAACTCATCACAGAGGTATAGAAACAACATTTTATACGAGGCAGCTAACATTATCCTCTGACTACCAGCTTGCATTTTTAACAGCAGTCCCAACCCATTTTATTTTGAAAAACGATTACCATATCAATAATGAATAATGTACATTGTTTATCAATGAATGAGCCATTCCAGTTGTCAAATAACAGGTAATGCTGCATTCAAGGGCATTCATATTTGTAAAAAAATGCTGCTGTCTCTCAGCTCGAGGACCTTAGTGCAGAGATGCAGGAGCTACAGACATATGACACCATGCAGGTGGTGAAGAGACTAGAAGACAACCACCGTCTTAAGAGAGACCTGGACCAGTGCAAGAATGGATTTCACCCCACCATCCAACCCACTCAACCTCCACACAGTATGTCCCAAAAACCACACCACATACAAATGGGAAGATATCTTTCTTTCTTTTTGTTAACTTCCACGGTAAACCACCAGATAGATAAAAAAATAATAAAAGTCTGTATAGTTCACTTAGGATTTAGAAACCAACAGAAGATGATTGGACTTGATCTTGACCTGATCTTTTTGTGTTCATAATAAGTTGTATATTTTACCTGAGCCCCCAGGAAGCTCTCAGCACCAATCACCTCAATTAGAAAGTTATGGATATAGGAAGTTATACCAGTGGACGCCTCGCTTGACTAGATGTGGTTTCCCCCCCATTTGCACAATTTCTTTCTTTCTGCTTCTTTTCATATTTTCCCCAAGGTAAATGTCCCCACGGTGAATTTCAGAACATTACTGGCCCGAGGGTGTACACAGCAGGAGAGTACCCTGGCTCCTACAAGTATGGAGCCTGGGGTCGGGATCCCAAACCAGAGGCGGGGAAGGAGAGCTGGTATTGGCTGGTAATGTTGACCTCCAGCAACAGATATGCCAACTACATCCGCCTCTACTCTAGCCTGAGCTCTCTCATTGTTGGGTTAAGCATTCCAGGTAAAGAACTCTTGTGTTCTAGTTTGAGTGTTAATGTTAGAAATGTACAACCTTTCAGCTCAGTGTGCAGGTTTTTTTATTTGGTTGTCTAGTAATAGTCGAAGATTCAATGCTTCGATAGAAAGAGCCTGATTCGTTTGCCAATCTCACAGTTGAATCTTCGCAGAGGAGTTATGAAACTAAGATCATTCCATTTTGGCTATATGGGGGAAGCTCAACATCTGATTTTACATAGAACTACCGGTTTTCTCCCACTAAGATAAAATAATGCCTATTATGATAAAAATATCAACATGTGAAGCTGTAAAAAAAGATGTAAAAAGAAAGAAGCTTTTAATAAATCTTTATAAAGTATAAGAATAAATACAAAATTGTAAGTAATTCATTTATCACCACTGAAGAATGGCACAAAGAATATTATATCATTTTTAACAGTACTTATAGACCTGCGAGGAACCACCAGGTGCATGCAATTCTCTGCGGGCATGCACAACTCTGCATAAGACCGATGAATGGCAGACGAGCAGGGCAGAGAGAAAGGGTAAAAATTAAGTCTCAGTTTAGCTGGAAATGTACAGTGTCATAAATGATTCGAACGTCCCACGAGGTGGGAACTCTGCATGCAGCTCTGTCTCTCATTCCTCTTATCACACACGCCCACACATGCACACTGACCACCATTCCCAAAGGGTAAAAGTTACAATCTTGGATTTATTCACATG